CATGGATGACTCTGCACTGGAGCCATGGGTAACTTTGTGTGCACGGGAGCCATGGATGACTCTGTGTGTACATGGGAGCCATGGATGACTCTGTGTGTATGGGAGCCATGGATGACTTTGTGTGCACTGGAGCCATGGGTGACTCTGTGTGTATGGGAGCCATGGATGACTGTGTATGGGAGCCATGGATGACTCTGTGTGTGCACAGATCAGTAATGTGGCTCCTGGGCTGTAAGGACTGGAAGCTGTGGTTGTCCCTGGAGAGGTGACTCAGCAGGACCACAGGCATTGGGGCAGTGCCAGAAGACGAGGCTTGACCAGGACTCGGGGACAGAAATGTAACCTTGAAGACTGTTCTCAGTGTGATTCCAGAGCTAAGCACAAACATCAGAATGTTTCATTTCCATGCAGGAGCATCTGCATGGTGTTGAAGAGCACTTCCATCTGAATTAGAGTAAGTCAGGCTAGTCTGAGAATTGAGGAAGGAACAGGAAAAGGGCAAACAGGACAGAGCCCCGTGTCTGTGGTGGCTGTGGTGTTTTGGTGTTTCTGATCCAATCATCAAATGAACAGAAGTCAGTGGAAACAGAAAGGGCAGGTGTGGAATGGAATACACAGCCTTTCATTGGTGGGGACAAGTTGTCTCACAACTGGCAAGGGAAGTTGTGAGGCCACTGCTCCTGCAAGAGGAGCCTGAGTGCTGGGATGACAGGCGTGTGCCACCACACTTAGAGCACTGCGGTCAGAACCTAGGCCTTCATGCATGCTGGACAAGTATTCTATGAACTGAGCTACACCCATAGTCCAAAATGGAAACTTTAACAATAAAAAGATGTTATGAAATAACTCTTTGGTCAAATAGGAATCAAAACCGGTTTTAGAAGCTATTAACACGTTTATTTTGCTGAACAACGTCACAATGAGGCTGTGGTAGAGCAGAACCCTGAGTTACATCCATGTATCTGTACAAGGTTGCTGTCTTCGTAAGATCTTGTTAAAACAGAGCCACAACACAAGGTCAAGCCAGCCCACATCCCAGTATGGATGGGCACAGGCTTGTGAAGTTCCATCCCTAGCTGAGGAGCCATTGGCAATTGATCGCAGAGAGAGAGAGAGAGAGAGAGAGAGAGAGAGAGAGAGAGATGGGGGGAGGGAGGGAGAGAGAGAGAGTTTTCTCCAGGGATTTGGCCTTGAGAGGCTGCCTGCACTTTGGTAGATGGTCCTCCACCATGTACATACAGGCAGTATTAAGTGGACTCAGTGGGTTAAAAAAACACAGGGCTGGAGGGCTGGCTCAGCAGTTAAGGGCACTGGCTGCTCTTCCAGAAGACTTGGGTTCAGTTCCCAGCACCCATAAGGCGTCTAACAATGGTCTGAAACTCTAGTTCCAGGAGATCTGATGCCCTCTTCCGGCCTCCCATGAGCATTACATGACATGGGTGCACTTATATACATGAAGGCAAAATATTCATAAAATAAGATAAAAATAAAATTTTGTTTATTAATTAATTAATTAATTTGTATGCGTGTATTGCCTGCATGTAGGTAAGTGCACCCATGTTGTGCAATGCCTGTGGAGGACAGAAGAGGCTGTCGGATCCCCTGGGACTGGAGTTATGGACAGTTGTTAGCTGCCATGTGGGTGCTGGGATTCGAACCTGGGTCTTCTGCAAGAACAACCAGTGTTCTTAACCGCTGAGCCATCTCTCCAGCCCCAATAAAAATAAATTTTAAAAAGAGCATATAAAGTTGGGAAGGAAAGTGGTGGGGGGACTGGAGGGGAAGGGAAGGGGGTGGAATTTATCAAAACATATCATTTACATGCATAAAATTCTCAAATAACAAAAAACCCCACAAGGGACAGAACCATAGCTTGTGGATGAAGGAAGAAGTCTGTGCCAGAGCAGAGGAGGTTAACAGACGGGGAAGCACTGTGAGGACTGAGCCAGGACCATGTAGACTGTGACAACAGACCGGCAGGTCCACCGCCAGAGCCCACAGCTACCGCACTCGTGAGAACCTGGAGAAAATATGCACACCTTTGGTAAAAAGAGAGAAAAGCAAGACTTCTTCACAGCCCCTTCATGTGTTGTGTTAACACAGCTGCACACAAAGCTGATTATGTGTTGAGAACTTACAAAAGCATTCCCCTTGGCTCGTGAAGCCTGGCAGCCAGGCCATCCTGGCTGGAAGTCAGAGGCTGCACACCAGCCCTAGCTGCACCGTGGTGTACCAGGCCGCACAGGGACACTGCCAGGGGCCACGGTAGCAGACTGGAGTGCTCACCCCACCCAGGTAGGGATCACCTCAGAAATGTGAGGCTCTTGCTAGGTGACTCTGCCCTTTGCATGTAGCAAGACAGAGAACCCAATAGAGACTGGAGAGAAGTCTGATAACAGGTCTTCTTTCTGGTTCTCTTTGGCTCCAAAAACCCCAGTTCCTAGATGACTCAACTTGAGCATTTACCATGGATGAGCAGAGCCAGTTACAGCAGAGCAAGGCCTTCAGCACCGTAGTCGTCCAGAGCAGCAGAGTGGCTCCCTCCACTGCAACAGGCGGCAGAAGTCCTTTACCTGTTAGTGAAAAGTGAGGTTTTCACTGCACAGGCACTGGGTGGGTCGAGGCAAACCCGCAGCTGCTGCCAGCGTGCTGGCTCTAGGAGAGGAAGTAGGCCAGAATGCCACGCGTGTGCCTATGTGGTAAGCACACACCACACACTTGCGCATACACCGTCTGTGACCTGGCTCTAGGCCCCCAGTGTACCTGCTCACACGTCCATGATGAGGTAGGCTCTTCCCAGCTGGCTGTGAATGTGCACACGGCGCAGGGCTTCCAACAACCAGAGGAGGGTGGGCTCAGGCGACAGGCCCTGGGCTCTGCTCCTCTCAGCTAGTCATCTCTTTTTCCAGGTGCTGGTGAGAGCAGCTTAGGCTTGTGGTTGCCTGGTCTAGGCAGGGCAGAGAAAGGCTCCTGTAGAGGCTGAGCTCCTCCTCACCACTGCCATGGCTGAGGCTGGACAGCCTCTGGGAGGCTGTCTCTTCTCTACCTTCACAGAGACTCCATGGGACTTATCCAGGAGAGTTGACGAGCCCACCCTGTACCGTGTCTGGGTTGTTTTTGGTGCCAGAAGGCTAAGAGGCTATCCTCTTGGAGGTGAGCGGGGATGAGTGACATGTCAGAGAGCCCTCTGCTATGGGGGTGGGGGCTGGCTCTGGGTTGGTCTCCTGGAAGTTTGCTTTGGTTCTGGGCTTGGATAAGAGCACTTGGGGTTCATAGTTGGGTCTCAAATGATGTGGACCAAGTTGCACTGGATTAAGGGGACATGTAAGTCAGGGACAGTCCTCTGGAGACTGGTGGTGAGCCCGAGTGGTACGGGTCTCCAGCAGGTACAGGACAGACTGCCCGATTGTTGCCACATCCTTCTGGAAAATCTTCAGGGACATTAAATTACAGAACTGCTAATAGAGTCCATCTTACAGTTAAAGATAACTTTCTGTTCGTAAAGGAATTCCGTCACGTTTTGACCATCTTGGCCACTTGGCAGCACTTTCTGAGACACAGTGGCTGAGGGCTGCTGCACACTGAGCCTGGGGCCTCTTTTCAGGGCCTCTGGAATGTTCTTCTTTTCCCACAGCTAACCACGTGGAGAAGAAATACAGGACGGGTGAATTTGGCAGGTCAGGGGAGAGCATTTCCCCGTGATTTGTTTCTGGAAAATGAGGAAAACATCAGACAGGGACTCAGGCACGAGTAAGGCACGCAGACGGCCCTCCCACCCGCTCCCCACTGAGGACGCCACCGAGGATTCCGCTCCTCTGAATTTGTTATTAGCGGACAGAACAGATGGTAAAAGGTTAGTTTAAAGTGATGTCTGCATTAAAATAAAGTATGACATTGGTGGTTGTGTTCACCTAGGGACCGGCTAGCAGGGCCGCTCTGTCCTCAGGAAAGGAGGGAGGGACGGAGGCCCCAGAACCCCCGAAATAGAGTGTTTGCCTTGTTCCAAATGATCTTGGAGCTGGAGAAAGTCACCCTGTGGCTTCCAGCTATAGACACCTGGGGTTTATTCTTGGTGTGTTCAAGTGAGGAGGTGATGGGCAGATCACATATGGATTCCAGATGAGAGAGACCCACCCACTTGGAAAGGACCCTCGGACTTGGGCCTTAGAGACACTGTATACCAGGTCCTACAAGAATGAAAGAACACGGCACCTGCAGGGGACAGGAGTTGTCCCACAAAGTGACACTCCATCATGGCAAATCTGGACAAGGGCTGTCAGGCAAGAACAGTGTCTGTGGGAAAGTGGGGGCCTGGGGTAAGGAGCACCTCTGAGAAACTCAAGTCCAAACTGGGCTTTTAAGCTCATATCCACCACTTTGCAGCTTGTGGACACAGGTGCACCACACAGACACATAGCCACAAATATGCACACACACAACACAATAGACTCATAAATGCAAACAAACATGTATACACAGACATGCACTATACAACAGACACAAACACACACCATACAAAGATATACACACAAACATGTATACCCACATATGTAGCACACAAAGATGCACACACAAACATATACATACACCACACAAAGATACACACATAAACATGTATACACACACCACACAAAGATACACAAACATGATTACACTAACTCACACCACCCAAAGATACACACATAAACATGTATGCACAAACACACACCAATACAAATATACACACACAAACATGTACACACAGACATGTAGCATAGAAAGATACACATACAAACATGTATGCACAAACATACCACACAAAGATACACACACAAACATGTATACACTGATATATAGCATACAAAGATGCACATACAAACATGATTACGTGGACATACTCCACACAAAGACACATACACAAACATGTACACACAAATACAAACAACACAAAGATCCACTCAAACACACATACACATACAAGCTCACACGTGTCTCCATGCCTACACCATGGTCTCCCCCTCGGGGCGCCAGCCTCTAAAGGAGCTGGTGGTTTTGCAGCTGGTAGGTCTGCCATTCACAGGGCGCCTTGGCCCCTGCCCTGGCTTTTCAAAAGATGCTCAGAAAATCCTTGGGCTCAAGCCTGTCCATCAGACGTGATTCTGTAGTGAAGTGTCTCAGCGCTTTCTCCTCGTACCGTATTAAACCTAGAGATTTTCTCAGGAAAACAGGTTACAATCTCATTTTGTTCCCCACTGGGAGTCTGCACTACCTGCACCAGCTACCGCTTCTCTGGGTGAAGAGCTCTGTGTCGTGACAGCTGAGCCTCCCCCATCCGTCTGCCCACGTGCCAGGACACAAGCGGGTGGATTCACTCTTGGCTGTGACTGCAGCCGGCAAGTGTAGTCAGCCCAGAAAGACAATTTCCTCTTAAAACCCAACTCTCCCTGGAGCCCAGAAGACAGTCGCATCTAAACACATTTGCAGGTTCCTGTGGCCTCCTCCATGTCCGTGCAAAGCTCTAAGGCCCTTGGTGCTTGAACTCGAGCTGACAGGGAATCAGGGTTTTCACAGGTGTCTGCATCCACTCACTTTGGCTTTGCCCTGATGACCCCCCCCTTCACTTTTCCTTCCCTACCCCATTATTACTGAGCACTGATGATATTCCACAGGTCTCTCTGGGCCCTGGGAACCCAATGGGCAGTTTGTCCCCAAGAGTGACACGTTTAGTCCTGAATGCACAAGCAACAGGTACCCTAGTGCTTTCTGCATAAACAGATGAAGTAAGGAGACACAGCCCAGGGCAAGGTAGACACACATGACCTGGTGCCACCGTTGTTCTTGGGAAGGTCCTCTTGCTGAGGTCCTAAGGAGGGCTTTCTGCAGGATGTCTGGTCACCCTGAGTTTCATAGGATGGGGAGTGGGTAAGCAGTGAGGTGGGGTAAGAAGGTCTGGCACAGAGATATGGGGGATGCTGGGGCCTTTGTGAACCATCAGTGCATGGAGGACAAAGAGTGAGTCTGGGCATGGGGATCTAGAAGAAGAGAGGGGTGGGAGGGTGGAGGCGTGGCCCACTGGCCCCGCACACAGACGGAGCCTGGCCCGAAGACTGCCTGGGGCCCACAGCCACAGATGAAAGGCCGAGGGAGGCCTGCGGTATATGGTAGGCTGTGGTCACCCTGACGGTTCTGGGCAGCTGGTCTCCAAGCTGCTTGTCGTCCCTGCTCTTGGGCAGTTTGCACTTGGGTATCCACATCAGGCCTCATCAGCCTAGCTGTCTGCTGTGATACCAGCTCAGAGGCCCACCTGAGGAGGAGCTGGCTAGAGTCTCTGTCCTTTCAGAAGTTCTCAAGGGACCTTCAAAGCATTCTAGGATGCCAGGCTCCCTGCTTACTATCTGACCCATGCTGCAGATGCAGCCATTGAGACCAAAGGCTTTGCATGTAACAGGAACCAAGGACAGAGTTCCCAGGTCCTGGGTGATGCTCACACCATCTTTACTGCTTAATTTTTGTGGTGCTGGGCATGGAACCCAGGACCTTGGGTGTGCTAGGCAAGTGACTTACCACTGCGCTACATCCCTAGCCCAGCTACATGGCCTGTCCAAGTAAGCTCCAAAAGACCATCTCCCTGCTGGGGCCCAGAGTCCCATGTCTGGCTCTCTGTCTCTCAGGTCACTCTATGCTCCACCAGTGACTCAAGTGCTGGCCATCGCTCACTCCAGCCAGCTCTGTAGATTTAGGTCTTGAGCGTGCAGGTGACTGTTGAAGGCTGGTGTTTAAAAGTCATCGTAACATTGTTTGGTTCCCAGGCAGACCTTCATTTTAATTGCTTTTGGAAGAGATTTGTGAAATGGCAACTCTGTATGTAAGGCCCTTGGAGCTGCAACACGTCACTGAAAAGCCCTTTGTTGGGGACTCAGTGGTTAAGAGCACTGGCTGCTTTTCAGATGGACCAGGGTTTGGTTCCTAGCACCCACATGTCAGCTAATGACCACCTATAACTCCAGTTCTAGGGGATCTGATGCCCTCCTCTGGCCTTCATGGGCATTGCACGACATGGGTGCACTTACATACACATAGGCGAAACACTCATACACATAAAAAAATAAATTTATAAATAAACAAAAGTCGTTTGTTGACTGCTGAGTGCTTGGCCCTGAGAACATCTCTCTTATCCCTCCATTCTCAGGGAACATTGAGGACGAGGAGGCAGGAAGACTAAGAGCTGGAGTGCTGGGAGGGGTGGGGCGAGATGCTGTCTTCTGGACGTGACAGGACTGCCATCCTCATGAACTCACAGCCGCTGTGGTTACCTGCAAGGGAGGCCTGCGGTGAAGGCCCGCACAAGATGTGCCCTTCAACAGTCCATCATGGATCGGGGAGGCGTTCTTGAGGTCCCCCCTCCCTGAGGAGCCACTGTCAGTTCAGTGGCTGTTGGGGAAGGGAGAGTCGCTTTTCTCAGCAGTGTAGCCGATGTTAAGTCGTCCGTGCTCCACTAAACAGCCTGCCACCCACGCTCAC